TGTAGTCATTTATTTATTTGATATTTTGCAGTTTTTAGTAACTTATGGTATTAACGTTTCAATTGGTATACCTCAGGGATCCATATTAGGTTCTCTTCTCTTTACTATCTATATTAATGATCTCAATCTTTCTATCAAACATTCAAAAACGTATCATTTTGCTGATGATGCTAATCTTCAATTAATAACAAACTCTCTCAAAAAACTTAATAAATATATTAATCAGGATATGACCGTCTTGTTCAATGGCTTAGAGCAAATAAAATCTAATTGAATACTAATCGAAATACTAACTTTTTAAAAAAAACTAAGAAAAATATTCCAAAATACTTGAACTTTCGATAAAGTGGTCAAAATTAGTACTTGTCTAGTAACATAACTTATCTTGGTGTTGTGTTAGATGAAAAACTTTCATTCAAAACACACGTATCCAACCTTACTGCGAAGTTAAGTTGTTCCAACGGCATGTTAGCAAAAATTCGACATTACATTAACTTTGAAACATTGCTCTCTATATATCACTCAATTTTTGGTTCACATTTACGATACGCATGTCAAGTTTGGGGACAATCTAAAACCGTATGTCTCTCTAGAGTTGTTTCACTTCAAAATAGAGCGGTACGGATTATTCATTTTTATCCGAGAAATTTTCCTACTGACATCCTATATCTTACATCTAAAATTCTTCGTTTCTATGACTTAATTCAGTTCTTAAATTGTTCATTTGTCTGGGATCAACAACATGGTGTCCTTCCTACTATATTTCACAACTACTTTAATAATAGAACAACATGTGGAGATAACCTAAGATCAGTCACTTATAACAACTTAAAAACAGGCAAGTAAACATGAAATCAATTCCATTACATACCAGTGTACTTTTTCTTGGAACTCCCTTCCAAACACCCTTAAATCAGGTCTCATCCTTAGGTTCAAGAATCTGTTCTTAAAGTCACTCTATCATTTCTACCTAAAAGGTTACGCTTAACTTTACTTTTTAATTTTTTACTTTCTACCTTTTGTTTTTAATATTTTATTTTAAATAATTATTTTTATTATAACTTACTTATTTATATTATAATTCTTGTTTAAGTATATGTGCATATATAAATGTACATTATATTAATTGTTATATATATATTAAAAAGTATATATTAAAAATATATATTATTATTTTTTATCTTATTTAGGTGATTGCGCTTTATTAGTGTTTTTGTAACATCTGTCATGGCCTACTATAATAATTACACGGCCGGATATCTTGCTTTTCGCAGCGAAAAATTAGAAGGGTAACTTTTAGACTTTCTTAAGCGTCTTTTAAAATTGTTTATTTAAATATTCATAATATGATTAATACATGTGCTGTAGTTTATTGTAAAACTGGATATACAAAGAGAGAGAATCAAATTGATGTCATTCCTGAAAAGCATCCACTTTTTGGATTTCAGGCAAATAATCCTGACTTATTTAAACAGTGGGTAGCATTTGTCAATCGAAAGTTATGGAAGCCCAGTTAAGAATTCGGCTATTTGTGCTAAACATTTTGAAGAAAAATATTTAAAAATTGGCAAAAGACTAGCATTAGTTTGGGATTTAAATCCCGTTCCAACTATTTATTGCTTAACTGAAAAAATGCCACCATCAGTATATCAATTTACTGAATTCTAAACGTATATTCCCCGCTTTTCATTTTTATCAGTTTCATGATGTTATTGATGTACATGCTGGTGAAATATCGTGGAAGTTACTTCATGATGTATATGATAAAGACCAATTACTTCAGTCAAATTTAAAAAAAGGTTTAAAATTATTTTATAAATCACTTCATCCAGGAGATAATAAGCAAAGTGTACCACTTGCTCTTGCAATATTTGATCCTTTAACTTCTGCATCTATTGAAAGTTATTTTCCAGATAGGACTGATGCCTCAGACTTTTTAAAGTTGATAAATATATGGTGGACAATAAGTAACAGAAAGCAAATATATAACAACAATTTTTGTATTGGAAATGCAGCTGTTATGGGTGACATGTAACCTTTTTTTTTTGAGGAAACTAGCGAAATGGATTGAGAATTGGCAACTATCTCAAGTTTCAAACTCTCAAAAGTTTATATTAAGTAAATAAACATCAGAAGCGTGAAGGACCACTTTAAGATGCACAGCTTCACTTATTGATGATTTAATTCAAGAAGGGTATCATTATTTTTTAATATCATGCTTGCAAACTGATCCATTAGAACAAGGATTTTCAAAGTATCATCAAATGAGTGGTGGCAGATTTTTAATTGGTTTGCATGAGCTTGAGACATCTGAGTGGATATTAGCTTTGAAAACTTTCTTTAAAGAGTCAGTCAATATCTGGGAGGAAGATGTTAGAAAAGAGAGTTGTAATATATCTTTACTTAAAATATTTAATGATAAATTGCAAGAAATTTTACCAGATAAGAACGCAGTTTAGATTCAGAGAGCTTTGAAGTTGCTACAGTTATTTCTGGTTATGTTGTTAAAAAGTTTAATAAAAAGATCAAATGTGGTGTTGGCAAAACTTTTCTATTAGCTTAATCTGGTGAGCTACAATGTCAATATTTAGAAAAACTTTCTCGTGGTGGATTGATTTTACTAGCTATTGATCTTACACATTATGTTGCCAAAGCATTTGCAATACTAGATACTGGGTACTTAGATTAAATGATTGTGCTTCTTCATTCTTATGCGATGAACATCAAATTATTGGTGTAAAATTGTGTTGTTGTAAATATTTATTTTAACAATGAACAGAAACACGTTTTTGATGAAATTCGAAAGAACAGTGTATAGGATTTTAAATGCAGACAAAGAAAAAGATTAAAGCTGAATTAGTTAAGTATTAACTTAACTAATTGATTATTAAATCAATTAAGCTGAGCTGAATTGAAGTAGCTAATGCTAAATTATACAGCTGAACTATTATACTTTTAATATATACTCTTCCTTTATTGTTAGGCTTTTGTTTATCATTTTATATATCTTGTTAACATTATTGAGATTTTATTATGTGTGTGTGTGTGTGTGTGTGTGTGTGTGTGTGTGTGTGTGTGTGTGTGTGTGTGTGTGTGTGTGTGTGTGTGTGTGTGTGTGTGAAAAATTCGTATATATATATATGTATATATATATATGTATATATATATGTATATATATATATATATATTTATATATATATATATATATATATATATATATATATATATATATATATATATATATATATATATATATATATATACACACAATATGAGGTTTTTCTTTAAATTAATAAAGTCATTACAAATTTAAATATTTTATTATTAATAAAATTATTACAATTTTATATTGATGAACGAAGTACAATATAAAATTTTCTTATTCTTAAGTTTTTAGAAACTATTATCATGCAAAGGAAAATGTCTAATTTTTGAGACTTAAGTTATATTTGTCCAACAAATTTTATATTATATACACACTTCTTGAACAAAATTCCGTATAAAGATTTTAATTTTAATTGCGGTAAGTGTGGCCAATCATGCTATGCGATAAGTTTATGTTTTGAAAAGTTACCCTTCTAATTTTTCGCTGCGAAAAGCAAGATATCCGGCCGTGTAATTATAGTAGGCCATGCATCTGTAACACGAAATATAATGTTGTTGTTGTTGTTGTTGTTGTTGTTGTTGTTGTTGTTGTTGTTGTTGTTGTTGTTGTTGTTGTTATTAAGTGGTTATAAGCAAGTTCAATTTGAATAAAAGCAAGTTTAATTCAAATACATTAAAATAATTTTTTTCGTAAAGAAACCTTTATATTTTTAGATTTCTATATCTTGCTTACAATTATTTTTATAAGAAAATTTATGGTTGTTGTAATTGTGTTTTTTAAAAAACTATGATATGGAGATGTTTTCTTAATTTTTTCTACAAATGATTTTCTAGCGTGAATAAAAAGGAATCAGATTTTATGTAGCCAAATTTACATTTAAAAATAGTTTTTACTTTCTTCATTGTAAAAAAAACTAAATACTAAACATAAATTGTATACATACTAAGTTTATTTATAAAAGTAGAATTTCCATTAAAAAAAAATCAGGATATTGATGTATAAAAATCTAAATTTACATTCGTCAATTATTTTTTTTTAAGATGAAGTTGGCATAGCAACATTTATTACGGCTCTTCCGCACACGTCGGTATTTATATGCGGCTCTCGCACGTAAAATTCTGGCCAGCCCTGGTATAATCTTTCAGCATTCATAAATTATGACCATTTAAATTTTGTAACCCCCTCAAACTGAGTGGGGCTCAAACTAAGTAAGTTCATAATTATTAAACGCTGAGAGATTTTACTATAAAACTTAAAATTTATCGATGAATATATGTCTAGTTAAGAATCGTACAAAAATTATTTTATCAACTTGTTGCTCTCACGTTTGGGGAAGGGGGCTAAAATTTTGGGGCTTTTTGTTCCCAGCCTCCAATTATCGCACCTTTTTGCAAAGCCTCATTATTTGACGTAAGTATAAAAATATAAATGTTTGGAGTTTGCTCCATGTCTGGGAGGTACCCAGCAAACTCGCCATGCTTGGCCCATGCACGCCCCACCATCGGTGTCATGACTGGCCCACCATCGGCCGACAAGCATGGCCCAATCCCAGTGTTGCACACCGTTTATTGCTTGGCCCATGCATGGCAGCCGTTCCTCGACCAGCGTTTAGCCGTTGTTTTGCCAGTGATCATTTTTACGCTACTTTAGGTTGATTTTATTTGCTTTTTAACATGTATTGCTATTTTTATAAATAAACAATACTTAAATAAATGCGAGATTGTAACTTAAGCAAGCAAATGCAAGATTTTAACTTAGAGATTTTAACGTAAAATAAGTAAGGAAGAAAAAGATAAAGCGGGGTGATGTTTGACTACTTAAAGTCTCCTGGGTGATAAAAAATAGAATGTGGGATATTTTTAACTATAAACACACCGTCATTTTAGCAGTACAATTTATATTACCAAATATTTTTATTTCAATAAAATATTCTTTCAATACAATACATATAAAAGTTTAAGGTTAGCGAAAGGTTAAACTTCTACAATAATTCCAACTTGATGCTTGCATGAGCTAACGTTTGATACTTCTCGATATATCTATATTTGTTGCCTGCCAAGCCCCATCTGAAAGATTTAGTAATTACAAAAGTTAAAAAAATAGCCATAAGTCAAGAAATCGTAAAATAAGTATAAAACTGTAACGTAAATAACTAAAAATAAAGTAATTGCAAAACAAACTATACAAGTTAGTAATAACATTAAATAAGTAATAAATATTTTTAAATATAATTCTTTATTCTATATTATAAGTAATAATATACTTTTTTTGCACACTTTGCTAATAAGATCTTGATCTAGGCAGTGTTTGATGCTCTTCTCAAAACTTGACTTCCAATATTCTTGTGTTCTCAAACCAATTTGTTATAACTAATAAATTAAAGAAAGATAAATAGATTGAACTTGTTTACCCTAAAATAAATGTTATAATTGTATTTACTGTTTATACTTTTATATAATATTCGTCTTAAAAAATCTAACCTGTCCTGTTATTTGGTGTCAAATGAAATAAATCATGCAGTCGTGTAAGATGCCAACAACATAATAAAAGTATTTAAACATAAATACTTTTAGAAATATAATTTAAAAGAAAAATATTTAAAAAAACCTTGTGAATATGCAACTTCTACTTTACTCTCTAAAATTTAAGATTTTAAACCAATAAATTTCACAAATTACTTTTTTTCCACAAAGAAAAGCCTTGAAATGTTTGTTATCTCTCTCTCTCTCTCTCTCTCTCTCTCTCTCTTTATATATATATATATCTACATATATATATATATATATATATATATATATATATATATATATATATATATATATATATATATATATATATATATATATATATGTATATATATATATATATATGTATATATATATATATATATATATGTATATATATATATATATATATATATATATATATATATATATATATATATATATATATATATATGAAGTTTCTTGGACTACTATATATAATCTTACATTGTTTATTCAATAAATCACAACTCGTTGACTTCATGATAACATTAGATAATCATATTGCTCCAAAAAATACTCTAAACAAAATAAAACATATAAAAACTATAAATATAAATCAACTAAGTTTCATGAAACGCCATATATTAAAAAATATCTTACGTTGTTTATCCAATAAACCACAACTCAATGACTCCATAACATTAGATAATTATGTTGTTTTAAAAAATACTCTCAATGAAATACAACATATAAAAATATATAAGGTTTCTAAGGAAACCATATAAAAGAAAAACCTTACTTTGTTTCTTCATTAAATCACAACTCATTTACTCCAAGATAATATTAGCTAACCCAGTTGTTTCAAAAATTACTTTTAATGAAATACTACTTATAAAAACTATAAACATATATAAACAAAATTTATGGGTATGCAACATAACAAAAACATCGTACCTTGTTTATTGACAATGAAGTTTTTTGAGATACCTTATACAAAAAATATCTTACGTTATTTATCCAATAAATCACAACTCGTGGACTCCACAATAACATTAGATAAACCTGTTTTTTTTTTTTTTTTAACTCTCTGAATAAAATATTACAAATGAAAACTATAAATATATATCAATAAAATGTCTTGTGTTACCATAATAGAAAAATATCTTACGTTGTATACCCAACAAATAATCTTATTGACTCTATAACATAAGATAACCATGTGGTTCCAAAAAAGATTCTCAATTAAATACATATAAAAATTTAATAATTAAACTAATTATTAAATATTAAATAAGGCTTAAAAGCAAATAAAGATATTAATCAATCATTTTATTTCACTTTATAGAAAATACAAAGTTAGGATCAGTAACAAACAATTATGTAACTGACAAAACCGTGACGACCTACAAATACTCACCATAAATTTGAAACAATATATAAACCAAATAGCAAATTAATAGTAAAAAAAATAAATAATTAATAATAATAATACAGTAATAATAATTATAATAATAACAGTAATGGCTAACAAAAGTAAACAATAAAAATAACAATGTTAATTATAAATATAATAATAATAGCCAAACATTAACAATAAGTATATAAGTACTATCAGTAATAACTAACAAAAGTAACAATAAGAATAACAATGTTAATTAAAAAAATGAAAATAAAACAATAACAATAGATTTATTATATATAACAATGACAAAATTGACAGAAAATATAAGACAACAATGACAGAAGATATAAATATCTTCTGCAGAAGACATTTATATAAATGTTAATATTAATAATGATAAGATAAAAATGACAGAATATATAATTATATATTCTGTCATTGTTATCTTAATAAGATTCTTATCATTATTAATATTAAAAAGAAAATGTTTTGACAATGACCGATCTGTCATTGTTAAAACATTTTCTTTTCATTTATTTACAGCTATTAAGTTAACAAAAAATAAGAAATACGAATATAGATAAATATTAAATAGTAAATATTATTTACTATTCACATTATTATAAGTAAACGTGATGCTTATCCTTTTTAAACCTTTTTTAAAATGTTATAAAGTTGCACATGCGCAAAGGAAAAACTTTTATTTTATCACAAAAATGGATTAAGCCTGGCACAAGATCGGCAAAATCGGCAAAGTTGGCCGATCTTAAAACAAGCATGGCCAACCATTGGTTAATGACTGGCATCACTGGCGCAATGGTGCCGGCCATTAACCAATGAATCCCTTGCATGGACCATGCATGGCAAGTTTACTGGGTACTTATCTCGAACAACAAAAAATTCTGTCTACGCCTCTGATGATTATTGTACCTAAATAATAGTTTGATTAAAAGACATTATTCGCAACAAGAAGCAGCATGTTGTATTGCACGAAGTTCGTTCAAATTGCATTGATATGTTTAGTGGTGTGTCCCAAGGCTCTGTCATTGGACAAATTTTGTTTCTTATTTTTATCAATGATATGCCAGAACTTGTTGGAAAATATTGTGAATTGTTTGCTGATGATAATCAACTAATTGCCAAATTAAAAAGTGTTCATAATTTTTTATGATAAAACTGCGAAATAAAGTAGATGCGTGCCATAACTAAAATAAAAGAGAACCATACTGATGATGATAAACTAATAATGAAAAATGATAAGGTTGATGGTGCATTTCAACGACGCGGCCATACCTCCTTTTATAGATTTGTAAGTTTAAATTTAATCAAAAGTTACAAAAGAGTGTTAACTCCGATAGGTGGAAAAAATAAACTGACCTATAATAGTGTGCAAAATTAATATGGTTTAGCTTTAAAAAGTAATGCAAATAACATTTATGCCATGAAAAAGGCAATATGGGCCACTGTACTTGGGTTGTCCATTAATTACTTCAACAAAATAGGGGGAGAGGGTCTAAAATTTTTTGACAATTGTTGACAAGAGGGAGGGGGAGGTCAATTAAAGTTGATGTCAACAATTTTTTTTTTGAGTTTCATTGCTTAAATAATGGAAAATTTGGCTGAGTTTGTAGCGTAGCTTCTTTGTATAGGGGGAGGGGGTTATCAAAAATTGACGTAATATTATAGGGGGGATCTCTGGAAATTTGACAAATTGTTAACAAGGGGGAGGGGAGGTAAAAATTTCAAAAAAATTGTTGACGTAGTTAATGGACAGTTCCACTGGATACTCAAATCAAGGTTTTTGCCAGCGTTTTGAATTTTCCTCATTTTTGGGCTAATTTTTTAAAATAAAGTATGGGTAGGTGAGAGAAATTAATATAAAAAAAATTGTCGTGATTATTTACTTTATTCTAAATTTTTAATAACTTGATGATAGTTTTACTTATAATTGCATTAAATTTAATTCTAAAAAGTATCTTTATATGTTTTGTTTCAAGTGTGAAAATACCTGGTGTAAATTGTATGCTTATAAGGCATCTTTTAGTCACATAAAAGAAAAAGGTTAATTTACCAATTGCTGTGATGAATGATATTAAGCCAATCTTTCAAGATCTAACAAATACTGAAGTGCTTAAGAAATTGTTACACTGTATGTGCAAACATTTCTAAAACGTATTAGTATGCATTCAAAATAGAAATAAAGCCTGGAATTAAATCAATTAATTGGCCGTTAAATTGTTTTCACATCTAAACTTTAGCTGTAGACTAAAGCTGTTGTTGAAATAGCTGTATACTTTGCAACAGTTAGTTAAATTAATGGCTTTGTTGAGTTATTTGGTATTTTTATTATTCATTATGTAGTTTTTTTGTGTACATTCTATTAAATCTGGTTGATTCTAGGTAATATAATCTGGTTGTTTTTTTATTTATTTATTTAGCAACCTAATGCTAGTTTAGTAACTTTTACAAAATAAATGTTCACTATTAAAGTTGATTATTTTTTAATGTTTGGAATAGTTTTTTTTTGAATTTTTTGGAGTCCAGTTGAACAAACTCAGAAGCAATTTCATGTTATAGTTTCAAACCACGAACAATGACTTCCGTATTCTCATCTCTCCGTTAAGCTTAACGGAGCTTTTGTCTGAAATTTCATTACAATATATCGAAGTAAAGAAATGACGAAAATCTTATTTAAATTTTTTAAAATAAAACTAATACTAAAATAAAATATTTATTTTTAAAAATTTATACTTTTAAAGAACTTTTAAAAGTTCTTTAAAAATATAAGTTTTATAAATTTTATAAATAATAAATTTTTTTTTATTAATATCTTTAAAAAGAAATTTTTTACTAACGCTCCGTTAAGCTTAAGTTTAGCCTTAACGGAGAGATGAGAATACGGCCCCTGCTCGATTATACTGACTACTTTTATGAAAATAACTAGCTTTTCTAGTGTTATGTTGATGTAACTCATAATTTTTAAAATAGAACCATTAAAAAATATCATTTTCAGTTGATGTAACATTGTGAATAAAAGATAGTGATTTAAAAATTATTTTATTTTTAGGCTGATCCAACCAATTCAACATTTTTGTTTTGTGAGTTGACCAGTCACATTTTAATATAATTCTCAATCATTGAGAATTATATTAAAATGTGACTGGTCAAAATCAAAATCAAACATTAAGTCAATGCTTGATTTTGTAACTTTTCTAAGGTGTTTAAGTTATTATTGTTTATTATTGTTAGTATTCAAGTAGGGAGCAATCATAGTTTGAAAGATTATCTTTCGCAGTGGATAGCCTACCGAAAGTCGGTAGCGGAAAAATAAAAATTATCCTACCGAAAGTTTTTTTTTATTAGTTGAGAATTATCACGTGTGACAATAAAATTGCTATATAAATATACTTTTAATTCTTTTACCCGCAATGCGCAGTAGTGTATCGGATAAAATCTTGGCACCACACTAAGGCGTTACGGGTTCGAATCCTTGCTATCATATATTTTTTACATTTCGATTGTTTTTTTCCATATTTTTTAGGTTTTATTTCGCTTATTAATTGAATTAGTTATTTAGGGATATACGCTGGGAATAGCACAATGCATTAATAGACGCAATGTAGTGTTCATACACTGACTGATTTAGGGATAGGCACCGAAGAATGTACATGCATTTACTAATTTAGGGATAGGCGCAGTGAAGTGTACATACATTTACTAGCTTAGGGATAGGCGCAGTGAAGGGCACATACGTTTACTATAGTAATATAATATACTAATATAGGGATAGGCGCTGTGCAGTGTACATGCATAGACTGAGGGTTTTGGTATGGGGTGGCAGTCATTTCTATTTATTTAATGGAAAATCCTATTTAATTTTTTTTACATTTTTTACGTTTTTGTTTTTTAAAAATAATATCTCATTTTAAGGTATAACAAATATTGTTTATTTTGACATGTGATATTGTCAACCAATAAAAAAACTTTCGGTAGGATAAACTTTATTTTTCCGCTACCGACTTTCGGTAGGCTATCCACGGCCATTATCTTTTTGGTCCATTGGGTTGAATATTTGCTTATTCTAACAAGATATCTAGTTTTCTTTGCAATTTTATTTGAGATATGTTTGATATGTTCAATAAAATTAAGTTGGTAATCAAAAATAATCCTTAAATATTTCAAGCATACATTGAACTCAATGACTATATCATCCAATATCACTTTTATCTTGTTGTTATGATTTATTAAACTATCTTTTCTTTTTTTTTGAGTTTACAATAAACATTTAGAGTATTTAATTTAAGTTTGATATTTCTTAACCATTTACAAAAAAATTTTAACTCTTGATTTAATTGGAAAACAGTTTCTTCAAAGATTGTGTTCTCAATACAAACCAATGTATCATCAGCAAAGAAATTTACAAAAGAATACTTAATTTTTGATGCAATATCATTCATGTAAATAATAAACAAAAGAGGTCCAAGTACTACCTTGTAAAACCACCAAGTTCAAGTACACTACCTTTATGTAACCAAGTACACTTTGTGGAACTACCAAGTCCAAGTACATTACCTTGTGGAGCCCCTATATCACAAACCAGATCACCAGATTCTTCACCTTTTATTTGAACTACTTGAGTTCTCATTGAAAAATAGTCTGCAATCCAATTCAGAATGGTACCTTTAACTTTGTAACCTGGTAACTTTTCTATAAGAATCTTTCTATTGTTTCAAATGCGTTTTTAAGGTCTAGCATTACTAGGGTGACCAGTGTCCTGGTTTTTACATATGAAAGCACAGTGCTAAACTATTTAATAATTTTTAATAAAATACTTGAAAATTGAAGAGTATAATCTTTGAAGATAATAATATTTAGGCCCTTGCACATTGAGTTCTTGTTTTGTATTTGTTTTGCTATATCATTCTAGTTTTGCAATTTAAAGGAATAAATTGAATGAAATTTAAAGGAATAAACTCACAAAAACAGGAATATTATCATTTAGTGATAAATTTTCCATAGCATTATAATTCATATCACTTTGAATTGATGTTTCAAGATCTATGATACTATCAATTAAATTTCAAGATCTATGATACTATCAATTAAATTTTCATTATATTTATCTGGAGTGGATTTTTTTGTTATATTTTTTTGATAATTTCTAATAAGATTTTCATATTCAAATTTTATATCTTCCATTATATTTGATTTAATTAATGGTTTGATGGTTGTTAGAAATTCATATAAGTTTACAAAGCTCTAGGATCATTTTTGACTGAATCAATTTTTTTTTTTATAGTAATCAACTTTTAGTATAATAATATATTAATAAAATTTGATAGATAATAAATTTTTGATAGATTGCTTTAGTTTTATAGAGTGATTTGAAAGAATTTATGTTGAAGTCAACAAGAATAATAACATTTTTAAAATGAATTGTATTAATCCAAGTATTGAAAAAATCCAAAAAGGGGATTTTGTTCTCCTGTGGAGGTTTATACAAAACAATAAAATGAAACTTAATTTTGTTAATGACTAACTACTTAAGAAATGAAACTTAATTTTGTTAATGACTAGTTCAGTATTGTCAATAGCACTTGTCATTGACCTATTGTCAATGACAAGTGGTAACCATAACATATTTAGGATCAGACTTTACTTTTATGTCACTATAATATAATATACAACCACCGGTATGAGCACTTGGTGATTCTAAATTTATAAAAGAATAGCCAATAATTTTGAGCTCTTTTTCAAAGATTAAGGACATTAGGACATTAACTGAAACCCACAGTTAATCAAAGTATATGACATTTAAATTTTTTTACTTATAGTGTAACTCAGTCAAGTTTTTATTTATGAGACCATTTATATTTGCATATGCAATTTTGATGTCATATACTACCATTGATTGCTAGTTGTCATTTTAATTCCACTCTACTTTTAATATCACTAAATAATAGACATTTTTTTATCAAATGCACATTGTTGAGGATTAATTATTAAATTTATTTTTTGTTTTTGTTAAGACAATTAACCAATTACTTTTGTGATTTTGATAATCTTTACTTTAATGATCACCTGAACAGTATCATAGCAACATGAGGGAATATTAAAGTGACAATTTTTTGTAATGATTACCTGAACAGTAGCAATATGGAGTGACAAATACATGAAGTAAAAACTGTGTATTTAAGTGACAGTTTTTTACTATATCGTTGTAACTTTGCCAATGAAAACATTGAGTAATATTTATGTTTTCTAATTTGCACAGACTCTCAGCCAATTGCTAATGTACCATTTTTCTTATTTATAATGTAGTCATATGTGTTTATATCTATATCAGCTATAACCATTCTTTACATACTTCACATTCAACACTTTTTCCATGAATACTAGTTTCACATTCAATTTAATTAAAGACTGAGGTTTTTAAATTTGATGTTGATTGATCACTATCTTCATCTGATTTATCAGCATTAAGGGGGCTTTGGTGTTTTTTAGTTTTTGACATTTTCACCTCTTATTCATAAAATGTAAGTATTGAACAGTTACAGGTACAAAATAGAAAGATCGTATAGAATTATTCATGCAACTATAAATTCATGCAGCTATAAATTTAATGCAAATTTCAAAAGAATATGCTTGCCATTTTATAAGCATGATGAGCTGCCAATTTCAAACGTCTTGGTAATGTAATCTTGTTAATCTGGCTGGTTTTTGGTAATATAACCTCTTAATGATTAAAAACAGAACGATTTTAAATGAAAAGAAATGGAAGATTGAGAAAAATTAAACAAGATTTCATGAAAAAAGTTTTTTTTTACAAAAGTTAGAGTATTGTGTTTGTAATTTTTAGTGATTGTTTTTAGTAGTATTTATGACTTTTAATTTTAGTAGTATTTATGACTTTTAATATATATATATATATATATATATATATATATATATATATATATATATATATATATATACATATATATATATGTATATATATATATATATATATATATATATATATATATATATATATAAAGATTGAAAAAAGTTTAAAAACATAAAAAGTTTTTTTTAGTTAATAGATTGCCTGCTCAAACCCTCAGTTGATGTAGCAGAACTCCTTACGTGTTCTACCTAATTTTAGTGTACTTAAATAAAAATTTATCATCTTTCATTACAAACTTGTTCACAAAAAATAGGCTAGTACATTCCTACTCTAGTAAAAATATATACAATGGGAAACTAAATATACCTTTATCTTTTAAAACCCAGATTTTGAATGAGTCCAAAAAACCTCAGCCTAAAATAACTTTTCTCCATCTTAAAGAACTCTTCACATGTTCTACCTATTTGTCAGTTGATGTGTATAAATAGTAAAAAAATAAAAATAAATACATTCAAAATGTTTTTATTTAAAAAAAAAACATTCTAGTCTATGAAGTTGCATTTTTATAGTTTTTTAAGAAGCAATAGAATTTATTTAATTTCCTTAATTAAATTTAATGGTTTTTAAATAAATTGTACTTAGTTTTGTTACTTTTAAAGATAAGGAGTTGTTAAGAGCCTTTTTATTTACATCAAAAAAATATGATATCAATTTTTTTTTCCAACATCTTTGCTGCAAGCAACCACTATTAGATTTGGAAATTACTGGAAGAGAAAATATGAAGTTTGTAGAGCAAGATAACAATTGACAGATGAGTTAAAAGATTGCAAATTATATGATTCATAAAAGCAAGATGAAGGAAACAAATTCAATAATTTCGATTCAACCATAAAAACCATTATTATTATTATTTGTTTAACTGAATTTAAAGTCATTATTTGTTTAACTGACTTTAAAGCCATTATATTTTTTCAGATTGTTACCCAGAATTTTTTGTTTTTTAACCAAATCCAATATCTTGGTCCAAGTTCAATTTTTTTTCCTCTCATCTGCAATTTTTGGTCGTGAAACTGAAATCTTGTACAAAAATTGTTATTTAATTTCACTTTCTTAAAAAGTTTTTTGTCTTTAGAAACATAGTGCTAAAAGTGATGAGCGCAATCATTAAATATGTCAAAAATTATTTAATGAATAATATTAAATAAGTAATGGTGCAATAATCTTTATCAAAATTTTAATCAAGTTGTTATAATATCAAATTGCTTTTATCATAGTTATTAAATTATCAATATTACTTCTTATGCTCTTTTTAAATATGAAATCTTTTTGAGTTGAAAGGCAAAAAGACTAAAATGACTTTACTTAGGGCTTCCATCTTTTTCCTCTCGTTATTTTAACTCTTTTAAAATTGTAAGTTTTAAATTGTAAAAGTTGCAAAAGTAAATTTTATTTTTTGTTTATAACAATTGGTCCCATAAATTATTATATATAATTGTAGATTAGTTATATAATACCTATATTTTATTTTCATTCATATAGAATTAGCATTATCCTTTGAAGACCCTTCACTTTGCTGTAAAGATGGTTATTCCAAAGGAGCTGAAATTTTACTTACTGATGTTACATGTGAACCTGATTCATCAGTGGAAAAAAAGTTTTCTGGAATAAATACTATAATGTGTCGTGGATTTTTCCAACAATGTTGCACAATAACAGCGCAACAAAACTTCTGCCAAATGGGTGAAAAACTAGCACAGTAAGTTATTAAATGTTTATATATATATATATATATATATATATATATATATATATATATCACCCCTATAACCAGCAGTTAGGTCGGCATTACCGATCTTAATCCTGAGGGCTGATATATATACATATATATAATGCTTTGCAGCTTTTTATAGCATTGAGTTAGATTCACTATATGTTTTTAACTCTGACTTTGCCATCACATAGTAACTCATGAATAATATTGAAAATTTATATTTGATATTTGGTGTTATTTTAGTTAAAAAACTATTAAGCTCTTTGGTTTAGATACAATTTAGTTATTAACTTTAAGAATTTTCAATTTTAAATTATTTGATAATATGAACAACAGACATCTGTTTACTATTGCTAGAAAACAGGCATCTATTTACTTTTGCTAGAAACCATTGTAAAAAGGTTTTGTCTAATACTAAATCTCACAATTCTCAGGTCATGAAGTCTCGTATTTCATCACAAAAATTAGGCTCTCATGACTTCTGGAGAATCTTTAACAGTATCAATAATAAGGGCAAATCTGTTATTCCACATCTCTTGTATGGCAGGGGTTAAAGTAGAATAAAAAAATCAAGTGGAACAGTGTAAAAAAAGTTCAAATTGTTTGTTCAATTGGATGTGGAATAACCCATTTGGGTACAGAATTAGTCCTTCAGGTTTTTTCTGTAAGTGTATTTTTGATAGGTGCATTTTTGCTGTCCACAATTATTTGCTTATGTCAAATGTTTAATTTAAATGGTTATATTAGGGAAAAAACTTTAAAATGAACTAATTTCTGGTGTTCAAACAGAAACATCATAACATAAACAAGAAATAGTTATGTTTATGAAATTGTTTTAGTAAATTTACAATTTATTCATGAATATTAATTTAGTTAAGAAAAAAGTGAACAAAATATTTTATCAACTTGTTGCTATCATGTTTAGCGCAGATGCGTCTCAAATTTTAGGGCTTTTTTTTCCCTGGCTTTAATCACAATTTTTTGAAAAGCATCTTTGTTTGACATAAGTATAAGCATACAAAAGTTTGGAGTTTTCTCCATGTCTGGTTAGCTACCCAGTTAATAAAAAACGTTTGAGAACATTCAACGAACATTGCGAACATTCAAGAATGTTCTATGAGCATGCTTAAACGTTCGCAACGTTCGTTGAATGTACTTAAACATTTTGTGTTAGCTGGGTGCTCTAACGAAAAGTTAGCTATATCACAAAACACAAAAAAAACTCAAATATTCTTAAATAAAATCTCAACAAATTGTTTTATTTTATTACAAATTCTTTTATATCATTCATAAATTATGCCAACTTAAGTTTAATTATAAGAAAAAAATATTTTAAGTTTTTCCTCGCAGACTCATAAATTTTAGCAGAAATTAAAATAGCTGTTTAACTTCAATAAAAATCAGCGGGCAAAGTAAAAATGATCTACTAACTTAATAAGGTAATATAGGGATTGCATAATTTACAGACATTTCCATTGTAAAAAAAACAAAACAAAAAAAAACTCAATAAAGTGGAATGGTTGCAAAGAAATATTGAGCGAAGCGGAATGATGTCTTGATTTATCTACCTACTTTAACCCCTGTCGCATGGTTCAGATTTTTCACCTCACGTAAAGACAAAACTGAATTGTTTCTTAAGAACTTTTCATCAATATTATCTATTGATTCCACTAGTTGTGTTCTATCTGATATTGCCAACAAACAGGTTGATCCATTGCTTGACATTCGTATCACTCCAGCTTCTGTATCTAAAGTGATTTCCTGCATAGACTCTTCTACAACTTGTGGTCTGGACAGTATATCTGTTATAGTCTTGCAGAAGTGTTCTCCAGAGCTGTTGTCTATACTTTCAAAATTATTACAAGTGCTTATCATAGTCTTATTTTCCTGGCTTTTATAAAACGGCATCCTTATTTTCAAAAACTTCAGAGGGCGATCTGACTCATCTAATTACCGTCCCATTTGTCTTCTTCCTATCATAGGCAGGGTTTTTGAATCTTTAAATAACAAATACTTAATCTCTCATCTTGAATCTAATAACTTACTTTCTGATCACCAATATGGATTTCATTCTTGTTCTACAGCTGATTTGCTAACAGTAATAACTAATAGGTTTTATTGTCCATAAGATAGATATGGAGAGGTTAAGACTATCGATCTTGACATTTCTAAAGCTTTTGATAAAGTTTGGCATGCTGGTGTTCTCCGTAAACTTTTTTCTTACGGTGTATCAGGTAATAACTTTAAGATTATTGAATCCTTCTTTTCCAATTGTAGTATAAAAGTTGTCCTCCAATGATAGCACTTTTATCCTGTAACTTCAAGGGTTCCTCAAGGTTCAATTATTAAGGATCAAATCTTTATTTTCAACTTTAACTGCACTTGAGATTGAAGTAAAGTAAATTTTTAATTTTTGATTGTTTACTTTACTTCATAAAAGGTTTTAAAAAACAATATAAAACCCAGTGATAAGCTAATTAAAAACTTTATTAGACATAAATTACTTTGAATGTAACTACAGTGCAATAGCAACATAAAACATCTTTAAACATTGCAAAAAGAAAAGTCCTTGCTACTATTAATCAGTCTACTATACGCTTAAAACATTTTACCGGTGAACTGCTATTGCATAAATAAAATACTACCCTGTTGCAAAAAAAAAAAAAAAATGATATAATGTAAAAAAAAAAAAATATTATAAATTTTTTTTACATATCAATATGGTAAGAGCGATGCTTTCAAAACAATATGACGAAAACAAGTGAAACCCATTTATGAAACCTTAAGCTAATACTGGTTAAATTCCAGATTTAGATTTGGTTACATGATGGGACCCATCTTTTAACCAGATCAATTCTCAGACAAAACCTAGTTCCAGTAGCCTAGATTGTTCCCAGTTGGGACCCAATTGTTCTGATTAACTGGATATGATTTGGTTTAGGTTAATTATAACTTAAATAGTTGTTAAGTGTTGTGATCAACACTTAAAAGTGTTAAAATGGTTGACAAACCAGGAGTGAAGTAAGTTTTGTAAAATGTCTTAAGTTTTAATCCATAAAATGGTGAAAAGGACATTTGATGGCTTGAAACTCAAGGGCATTTGATTAATTTAAACTTAAGGGTATTTGAATAAATAAAATCAAGCACATTTAATGGATTAAAACTCAAGGGCGTTTGATTGATTAAAGCTCAAAAGCATTTTAAGGAATAAAACTGCATTTATCAAAAAAAAATAGCATAAACCCCACCCCTTGGATCTGTCATTGGCCCAAATTGTAAGAGTAATGAAAAAAAAAGTGTTGTGGTTGTTTTAGTATTTTATTATTATTATTCTTTTGAAATATATTCAAGGTTTTATAAACTTGTAAATAATATTGCTGTAAATTTTTTTGAGTATGATTATGACTTGATGTTTTCAGAGCAAATTATTTATGCATGAAAAACTCATACCGTATTGGAGGAGAATACCAGAAAATTTGCTGCGACTGCTGCAAAGAAGGTATTATGCATGCTCGAAAAGGCGCAGAATGTTCAAATAATGCAATAAATGAAACTACATGCAAAAAATCTTTTGAGAATTGTTGTAGAACTGTATTAAAAACAGGTAATTTTTTTCTTTGTTTATTTATTATTTTTTTTAATTTGGTGATTGAAAATGTTTTTTTTATTTTAAAAGCTATGCATTTGCAACTTTTTCCTTTTTTTTAGTGTTTGCTAATAATTTATTATTTTTTTTAAGTGTTTTTTTAAGTCAGCGCTCGCTGACTATGTGCTCGGATCTGAAATCTCACTTCATAACACATCATTCCACACCAGCACGGGGTAGTAGCTCTTTTGGCTAAGAGTGATGGCTTGTGGCCAACGGTGGCTAATATGTGCGTTCGATCAATTAAAATCCATTCTGTAGGTCTTACGTCTGGCTCTGATGTGCTAGCCCATAAGCGCAAGAAGTGAGTGTGTTTAGCTTTCTATTCACCCGATTTGAAAGTGAACGAAAACATAACGAGACCATACTAGACGACCAAACCGTACGTACTAATGCACTACACCATCACACCTGTAGATCAACAGTCTCTAAAATCAGTATATCAAATATTTGTACTTTATCATATACTTTTGTTCATTATGTTTTTTTACCTTATCTTTGTATATTTATTCAGATTTGTTTATAATGTGTGAATTAGACCGTTTATTTGTGAGAAGCATAACAGCGCGAAAATTCTACACAAAAGTATGTACTAGCGTATTTTTATAGCAAATGTATTCTTGGTTGGAATATACTGAACAATTCTACTAGATAAGTTTAGACTTATTACGATCTTGTTAGGTTTTTGGTTTCTATCTAATTTTCTCGATCTGATGTCGCTAAGTTAGTTTGTTGTTGTTTGCACTATACAGTCTTCACTAACGTTCCTTTGGTCGTTTTGTCAACAATATTGTTTTTTAACATTACATTTTTCAGTGGTTATAAGCTATTATTTAAAAATCGCATTTATTGTCTCATCTGTTTATTATCTCATTATTCTCTGCCTACTGATTTAATATTTGTTTATTTTTTTATCTCTGGCTAATCATTGTTTAATTACTCTGAGTCTGTTTTGTGTGATAGCTATTGTCTCTACTTATCAAGCAAGATTTATGTGAGAACATACTATTGGAGTTACCTCATTTTTTATCATTTTTTTCGTTTAGCTACTTTCGTACTAACCACCAAACATTTTAACTTAGTATCAATATTTATGAGAGGTATTTACTTATTATATTTATAGCCATATTTCAGCCATAAAAGAAACGGTAAGTTACTCTTATTTATTAGTTACTATTTTCTATTTGCTTTGTGTTATTTCTACACATTAAAATTGTTTATTTTAATACAAGTCCATACGTGCATGTGTACAAGTTTGTCTCTTTTATTGTAAGTGTACATTACATTTATATGTGTTTACATATTTGTTTATGGTTATAATACAACATTGTTATAT